GGATGGGCAGAACGAACGGGGACCGGTTCCGACACCCCCTGGTGACCGTGTTCTTGGCAGGCTAGACTTGGAGAGAATTGCCGATGATTTTGCAGTAGAGGAGAGGCTTGGAGGATGAAGGTGCTGGATTTAGAGGACCTTGGCATTTGGTAGTTCTTCTACTTAGCCGGGTCTGTGATTGCAGGACTGGCCTTACTATACCCAAGCAAAATATGGATTTTGGAAGGGGGTGTGACATTGTGAACCTTGGCAAGTTGGGAATGATGAACAGATGCATACAAATGCGATTTTGTGTTTGAAGATATTGGCCATTGCAATATTAGTACGGTTAGGAGAACAGATCATACATTGTTTTATGTCCAATGTGCTTTGCCTTGCGGAAGATGTACAACAAGTGACCAGCAAGAATCATTTTGTCGGATGACGGTCACTATCTTGCGAGCAGAAGCAGGCCGGCAGCTGCAGAGGCGAAAGATGAACAATTCGATATTCAATTCTCCACTCTCCTATCCATCAAGATCACGAGGCGGCGTACCCTTAATTCCTTCTGCTCCTTCAACGATCATTTGACATCCCCAAACACTCCCTGGTTGCCTACATTGGGGTGGTTTGGGGGATCAATGTAGGCATGTTATATATACACCATACATGGAGTGTGTGGGATCTATTTGAAGGCCAAATATGCTCTTATGAAGATGGCCCAACAGTTGATTGCTTGGAGCAAAAAGCACGGTGAAGTGCTCGACCGTCGCCCTTGAGAGAACCGTAGTGACGTGCGCCGGATATAAGTAATCATAAAAGGCATCCACGGCATGTATTCATTCACGGGTGTGTTGGGACACCCGCGGTTGGCGCGCACCCACGTGCCAGACTTGGTACCAGAGGAAGGAGAAGGACTCTTGGCAGCTCAGACGAGCGCTTCGGGCGTCGGTCGCATACGGCGTTCGTCGAGTCGTGGAGGATGTTCACTCTCGAAGGATGTCTGACTTGACGAACGCGACGGTGTTTTGTTTCTTTTCAGGTTCTATTCTTTGGATCGTGGGGTGATTTTCAGGATCCTATTTGAAACACATGTTCAGACGTTCTCGTTACAATGTTCATCAATGTTCATTTCATGCCCCGTCAGACAAACCGACTTTGTATGTTGTCATCGCCGGGAATCGGTGACCTTTTGCTGGTGGAAAGCTTGAGCAGATGATTTGGTTGCTGACATCAACGGTCCGCAAAGAGAAAAACAACAACATTGATGCCAAGACAAACAGATGTATTTTGTTTCCTTTCTGTGTCTTGACCTCTGTCATTGAGACTCGCAGACGATGTGACAACATGTGACAGCAAAAATGGCCTACCTTTGGGAAGGTTTTGGGTGGTGAATGTCATGCCATGCCGCACCAGACGATTCGGAGGAAGCAAAGTCTTTTCACTCCTGGTCCTGGAAATTCCGCACATTCCTCATCAGGAAGTCGGAGCTCAGATGGGACCAGGGGAAACCTCGGAGGGACCAGGGGCTGATCACACCCAACAACCCTACTGCGTGGACCTCTCATCACACCGACTGGATTGCGCCGGCGCACGGACCGAGATGGCGTGGTCTTGAAGCTGGCCTTAGTGCTGCCGGAGGAGGAGGTGGTGGGATTGGAACCGGAGGGGATGAGGTGGTTGATACATGTATTGGTTGATAGACCTTAGGGATCCGTAGCTACTTCGAAAATGTTTGGACCCTCCGAAGACACCCCAACCACCTTCTGAATTCTGAATTCTGAGGATGTGGTTGGACTCCGAAAAAGGGGAGAAATCGATGTACATACCTGGGTCTTCCAACTGCGACAAAATTGGTTGCCTTTTCATCCAGAAGAAACAGCCAAAAAGCAGACATTTGGTATATATAGTTGGAAGAGGAGGGTCGTTTTTTTTCGGGATTGTTTTTTTTCGGATTCTGCTTTTGCTGCGTTTCTGCTTCTGCTGCTTTTTTGCTTTTGTTGCTTTTCTGCTGTTGCTTTTCTGCGGTTGCTGCTTTTGTTGCTTATCTGCTTTTGCTTTTCTGCTTCTGCTGCTTTTGTTGCTTTTCTGCTTTTGCTGCTTGGCTTTTCTGCTTCTGCTGCTTTTCTGCTTTTTGTGTTTTTGTCTTTCTGCTCTTTGGTTTGCTTTTGTTGCTTTTCTGCTTTGGCAGCTGTTCTCCTTTATCTTTTTGTTTTTGCTTTTCCATTTGTTTGCTTTCTAACCTTTGGATCTGGTGTGCTGCTGGGGGGGGGGGGCGCTGCGAAATCTGCACTTCATCTCCGACACCCGCGCCTGCCACGAAATCACTATTTTAAGGTGAACTCCCCGGGGCATAAGCTTCTAACCAATCATATGCCTCCTGTGCTGGTTCTCTTTCTCTTTACTGTTTCTCTGCTAACGTAGGACTTTCTCTGACACCTACACTATTCCAATGTATTTTGCCAGCTAGGACAGCTCCTAAATTAGTCTACTAATCAGCTAGCAATTAATATAAAACCTGCACTATTCCAATGTATTTGGCCAGCTACGACACCTGTGTCTCGGCTAAGGACACGAAATTGCTGTAATTAGCTAGGTACTAATAAGAAACCTGCTTTATTCCAATGTTTTTGGAACAAAAATCTGAAAAAAAAGAATTAAACGTGCACCCGTTGGAAGATTCAGGTATGTTCCTCTCCAAAGATCCGTCCAGAAAATGGATAGCGACCCGATCGAGTGAGTTCCACACGCGGGGAAAGTCTCCCGCACGGAACACGCGTAGCTTCCCATTCCGAATGCCTTCGTGAAATGAAAGTCTTTGGGCGGGTTTGGAGGGTCCAAAGTCCAAAGACCTTCGTGAGACAAAGGTACTTGGAGCCCAAACGAGCGTATGTTGTCCAAAAAAACGGGGTCGACCACGTACTGGGGCGATGTGGTGAAACCTGAACCCTTTTAAAGGGATTGTTTTCCCTAAACATGAAGATATGCAAAGAGATTGACCTTCACACTGGAAAGCTGAGGAGCTTGGGGAGACTCATGGCATGTCCATAACCTTCACCTTTCAACTCTCCTTGCTGGTGATTGACTTAGCGCGGATCACCAATGGTGGTCATGGGGCACACCGACCTCGGAAGTGGAGCAGTCCAGCAGTTCACCGACGGTTCGGTCGATTTCAACGCGCGGCAGTTCGAACCGAAGCCGGCAACTGAGAACGGAGCTGGCAGTTGTTCTGCCAAAATGATGGCTGGCAGTCATTTCTTGCAGTTGTGTGTTTTCTCCCCAGAAGGTTGAGAATCCATGTGTCTTGTTAGTTGAATGCTTCTGGCATGAGCAACACAATGTTGCATCACAGAAGTGCAGTCCCTGTTCCCACATTTACATGGAAATGGTCAGACCTACATCCAAAAATGATCAAACATGTATGGAAAACAGGCCAAGAGGTGCACAGGCCAGTTCAAGTTTCATGCCCTGAAATAATCTCGGAAGTGGAACATGGATGGAAATGGCCCTTGGATGACCATTTTCCTCTATACAAACAGGTAATGCAATCTGCGATCAATCCACTTCATGTGAAATAACACTTGGAGACCAAGTTGACATCCATGATCCCTGATCGATTATGATGTTCATGTTCATGGGTCATACAAGGACGTGCTGTGCGTCTTCCCACCATTCATGGTGCTTAAAACCCCGTTCAAAACCCTCTTAAGAACGGTTGGACGGGGTCGTGGCCTGGCCTGACGCAGGTCGACAAATCAACCGTGCCCTGAGAGACACAGTGGCAAAACATGAGCTTCTTCCTCTGCTGCTTGCTGAAATGCATCTCATTGCCCCAAGTGGGTAACTCGGAAAACCGCTGAGCTGGGACGAAGTGATCTCCCGGCCCTCGTCTCGGCCTCGTCTCGACCGGAGGCCTGATTTTGCCATGATTTTGCCATGTTCCTGTTCTTGAATTCCTAAGAATCCTTGGGCCTGACCTGGCCAAAAGCGCCCCCCGACCCCGAAGACTCTAAGGGAAGGTGTCCGGACTTGAGGAAAAATCCCTCTCCGGACTTGTCAAGGAACCAACCTTCTGCGGGTCTTCCCATTTCAACGCACCACTCCGCCACGTGCCCTGCCTGCCGCGCCGCCCTTCCCGAACTCGCCGGAGCTCCGGGCAGGCCCCGCGTTCGGTGGACGTGGCCATCTTCAGCTCCATCATGGTGGTCCAGCGGCCGGCGGACGAGTCGCCCGTCTCGTCGGGAGTGTGGCGTCCAGTCGACGGCATCCGAGGAGTTTGGTTGAGCTCCATAAAAGGATCCTTAGCATTTTATAGCCTGGAGTTTTTTTGGGGGGCAACCCGCTCCCCTTTAGAAACCACTTAACCCGCTCCCCTTTAGAAACCACTTGGATTTGAGAAGAGCTGTGAAGGATCATCTCTTGATTGTGGGCTGTGACATGTCATGACGGCCGTTTCCGAGACAGCGTATATAACTTATTACAGTAAAATCCTGGCCATGTCTAGGTATGTTGCACCTTATGTTGTTCGGCTGGTGGCTGATGGACGAATTGACCGGTGCTGGTGGCCGGTGTATGCTGGTGCTGGTGTTTTGATGTTCCCAGATATAGCCCAGATGTTCTAGGCATCGGTTTCTTTCACTCGGTCATTCCATCTGTTTTTGCACTTGGAAGCCGTGTAAGATCCAAACCCCTTCCTGCCTTGCAAGGCATGTACATGTGCGGTGTGTATTGAAATAAGAGGACTCCCCGAGATCTAGTCTACGGGTGTGGCTTGCACACCGTGCATTCTGAATATACCACTGGTCTCAGAACTGCACCTGGACGGAGTCGTTGAAGAATTGCTGGCCCAGTTTCACGGTCAGACCCCTCATGTAGACGCTTGCTTTTCTCAAGATATAGGGATTCGGCCGGATTTGGCATAAACTTATAGGAGCCAGGATCCATGCATCTGAGGTTGGACTGGCATACTGAGCTTTTTGGGAGTGACTGAAGGTCTTAGAATTTCCTTTGTTTGCTCTGTCAGGGCTCAAGCCGTGGGCTCGGCTTCCTCGCCCCCTTCACGGCACAGCGGGATCTCTCGGGATCCCTCTCCATCGACCTCAGGATCTCTCGCAGCTCCATGGCCTGCTTCTTTCCCTTCCGGTGCCGCGCACGGGCGCAGGTGCTGCCCTGTCAGGAGTCGGCCTTCCGCGTGACCTTGGAGGCCGAGCTCAAAGATCCTGGGACAGTTGCTTTGCCTGTTTTGGCCAGCTGCTGGTGTCTGCTGGGTGTGTGTGAGGTTGGTGTGTTTTGGTCGTCTTTTTCTCTGGAGCTTTACTATAGATCATCGTTTAGACTCTTCACAGGGCAGTTCTTTTGCCCGCGGCTTGGCGCCGCTTCTTCTCCCAGGACTGGCCACTGTCACAGGGCTGGGGTCTCGTGGTGTCCAGCGATGAAGCCTTGCGGGAGCTGGTGATCGTGAACATCCAGGAGTCTACGTCTGTGAAGCACTGGAACTTGGAGCATCCCGAGTGACTGAGCTGGAGCATCTAGCAGCTCTGTAATTATATTTGGAGTCTATTTTGGACATGTTTTGACCTATATATAGTAACATATGGTGATATGGTGACTAGTTTTAAAACAGAGGCTGGTGCCTCTTTTCTACCAGGACACACCTATTTTGGAGGGCTACTATGTTCTTTCAAGGTTTGCCCTTACTAGCCTAGTTGCTGGCTTTGCTTGCTCTTAAATATGTGGAAGTTGAGATTGGCAGTACCGAGCTAGCGGCAAAAAGTGCATTGAAAGGACCGTGGATGGGAGACCCCATGGCATCCAACTCCATCCAAGTTCAATGGGGCGCAATGGGTTTGGGTGGGTATGTTTTGGTTCCGAAGATCACTCAGTCACTGCTCAGTCGCTGCCGATGTGTTGGGCCCTCAGGCCGCGTACTCGGCCATCGTCAGGTGTCCAATCGAAGTGGGCCAGGCCATCTTGGAGGTGAATGGAAAGACTGAGCGGAATGAGATGCTGGAGGCACCGGAAGCCTGGCGCCATTGCATGTTGTGGGATCGGTCTGTGTTCTATGTGTGTCGCACTGTAGTTATGGGCATCGAAGACCATCAAGTCTTGGATTGGAATGAGTTTGGTTGGAGGTTTCTGATTCCTTCACCTGCCGGTGATGGGCTGAAATTCAATTCGATCTGTTCATACATTGAATACGAGCCATAGGTGCCTGTCCGCTTCTGCAGCGTTTTTTTCACAACACACACACACACACAAGCAGTGATGTCATGTTGAACATGGCAGGAGCTTTGGGGCAAAACGGCTTGGAAGGACAGAGTTGCATGTGGTGCTGTTATTCGAGAGGTGGCAATGTGTCTTGTCGACGTTTTGGCACCCGGGCAGCGGTTTTTGCAGGATGGGAAGGTGTTGATCCAGATGCTGATCGACGTGCAGCTGACACCTCGGCAGAGAAGTTTCTTCAATTTGGCCATCCGAAGAGACCCAGCTGCTATCCACAAGTTTGTTTGATCAAGATGGGGGAATCCCAATTTGGGAAATTGAAAACCAATTCGAGCTACGGGTCTCTCTATTGCACCCCCAGATGTTGCTTGGGCATGCTTGGGCATTCAATGCAATGAAATGATGTCTGACTGCTTTTGGCCCGTTTCTTTGGTCCTTTCTTTCAGGGTTCGGAGCAATTCTAAGGATATGATGTAGTGGATGAATTCCTCGAAGCGACGAAGGTAGCTCACAATGTATGCATGGTGGAACCATGCACAATTTGTCAGGAAGCATTAGACGGGAGTTCTGATGTCGTCCGATTGTCCTGTGGCCATCATTTTCATAAGTGCTGTGCACAAAAGCGTTTCTTTTCCCAAAAGAATTTTCGTTGCCCCTGCTGCAACAACCTTCTGGGAGGATGGAACTAATGCAACCAGGCGCTCGCCTGGTGCAAAAAAGCCTTCCTTCCCTTCCTTCCGGAGCAACTTGGGTGGGGAATTCCGTGGTTTGCATGTTTTTGTTTGTTCTGAGTGTTTGGCCTCATAGCCTCACTCGGAGACTCAAAAAGGAGTTGACCTGCTGAGATGTGCTAAGTTGAGGCTGGTCAGTCAATTTTGCATCGCTTTTTACGCAGCAGTCACATCTCAGCCGACTTCATGTTTGTACAGTTTTGAGTGACGACACAGCAGTCCCTTTCTTTATAAATTTTGGACCGAACCGGAAAACTGGGGTATGCAGCTCGCTGACAAGGACAAGCCGACGCCTTGGTCACTCCCTTGCCTCACGTGTGGGATCGTGAATCGACAAAGTCAGCTCAGCTGAGCTCCTGATCAGCTCTGGTGGGATCGCTCGTTTTTCTTTGACTCCGGCAAGTACCCCACAGGTGTTCCTGTGGCCTTGGCTGGATGGAGAGCTGTGCTGAGATGACCGTGCAGGTTGAACCTGGTCATGTCACACTTCTGACTAGAAAGTGGCCATGTTCGCTCACAGAGTGGCCCAGCCCTTCTAGCAACTCACAGTTTTTGATTTTTTTGTTGTCGATTTCATGGTCCAAGTCCCCTATTGTCATGTGCTCCCGCAGGCAACATTGAAACGGATGTGCCAGCCGGGAGATCTAGGTGTGGGTTTGTGTTCAAGGCTGGAAGCCCCAAGTAGAGGATTGTTTGCCAGAAGGTAAGATGGTGCCTAAATTGCCAGGAACGTAGGGCTGTTTCTTCCCATGTGGCATATGAACTACTCGGATTGGCCCACAGCTGGACCATGGCAAGGGATTTCGCCATATCCCGGGGCCTAGGGGCCTGCACAAAAGAGCGGATTTGCTTGACAGGGTGGTTGAAGTGAATTTAAGGTCCTTCCATGGGAGTGTACATGTTGCTTCCGTCCAAAACCCTAGTTGTGAGGAGCAGCCTTGCAAGGCATGTACATGTGCAGTGTGTATTAATCTATAAGAGGACTCCCCGAGATCTAGTCTACGGGTGTGGCTTGCACACCGTGCATTCTGAATATACCACTGGTCTCAGAACTGCACCTGGACGGAGTCCTTGAAGAATAGCTGGCCCAGTTTCACGGTCAGACCCTCCCATCTACCAAAACACCAATCCACCTCATGTAGACGCTTGCTTTTCTCAAGATATGGGGATTCGGCAGGGCTCAAGCTCTGTCCGGGCTCAAGCTGCAAGAAGCATTCGAGCCCAGCCCTTCACGGCAGCACCTCAGGATCTCTCGCAGCTCCATGGCGTGCTTTTTTCCCTTCTGCCGTGCCCGGGCGCAGGTGCTGCCCTCTCAGGAGTCGGCCTTCCGCGTGAGCTTGGAGGCCGAGTTCAAGGACCCTGGGACTCCGCTCTTCTCCTCCTCCTTCCTCCCGCCCCCCGCTCAACATCCACCACCAACAACAACCAACAACAACCACCCCGCTCAACAACCACCAACATCCACCAACAACATCCACCAACCACCAACCAACAACCACTAACAACAGCCAACAACAACAACAGCAACAACAACAACAAGGTACAAACAAAAACTGCAGCTTCGTTACAAGATATCTTGTTCCTTTGTCTCTACAAGGGGGTGGAAACAAAATCTGCAACCCCGTCGTTGTTATTTTGACCCCCCCCCCGAAAACAACCAGCCAACATGTACTTTTACCAGTAGTGGTAGTGCTTGTACTAGTGCTAGTACTAGTGGTACTAGTACTAGTAGTAGTCGTTGTTGTGGTCGTCGTCGTAGTAGTAATTAGTAGTAGGAGTAGCAGGAGTAGTAGTAGTAGTAGTAGTAGGAGGAGTAGCAGGAGTAGTAGTAGTAGTAGTAGTAGTAGTAGTAATAGTAGTAGTACTAATAGTAGTCGTAGTAGTAGTAGTAGTAGTAGTAGTAGTAGTAGTGGTAGTGGTAGTAGCAGTAGTAGTAGCAGTAGTAGTAGTAGTAGTGGTGGTAGTCTGGTCAGCAAAGCCTCTGTAAAACTCCTCCACCAAATCCTAGAGACAAAAACTGCAGCCGCGTTGTTGTTTTTTGACCCCCCCCCCTCCAGAACAACACCCCCAAAAACATCAAAAACCAAGAAACAGACCAACCAAGACTTGAGCACCATAACGACAAGAAGTCCAGCCACTAACATCTCTCCAAACCTTCGACCCTATCCCTAACAGTGTCCCTTTGAAATCCCTGACTTGCAACATGTGACAACTATGTTGGGCAGCTGTTTTTGTCTCTACCAACAGCAACAACAACAACCAACAACAACAACCACCCCGCTCAACAACCACCAACATCCACCAACAACCACAACCACCAACCTGGGGCTCCTGGGGCTCCGGCGCTGTGCCGCTGTGATTTGCGTGGCACGCGCAGCACTCGGTGGTGTCCTTTTGGCCCCGACTCCAGGCCAGCGTTATGTTTTCAAATGCTGTTTTTTCCAACTTAGAACATATCAAATATAAAAATATATATACCCTTTATATTTTCACTACAAAAATCGATGATGATACCATCACAAAACAAGCATTTTTTAAATAATGATCTGCTTATGTTGGAGGTTGCATGTCAGAGAGTCTGATTTTATAGAGGACGCCGGAAATTACGAGCCCCAATTCTATAGAGGATTTTTGTGTATCAACACATTCTTGACAAGGTAAAGACATCTGATTCTAGAGTCAAGCCATGTTTGAATTTTACATGTCAAGGGTGTCAATTCTATAGACAGTTGCCGTGTCTTTCCAAGCTCACATGCCTGATGCTGGACATGTCCTTGATCAAGGGGAATTGGTCCCATACAACTCCTGGTTAATCGCAGAGATTGAATAAAGTTATCAAGATATATATAGTTAAAAAGACAAAAAATACAGTTGGATACAGTGCGTATAGATGTTGTAAGATGGTAGATATTTGTGTGCTATAAAATCTGTGAAGGTGACTTTGGCCAATGATCATGTTGAAGTATTTTAGAATTGTGGTAGCTTTCATGCAGAAATAGGTTCCTACAGGTCCTGTGTCCAGCGTAGTCAGATTTTGCAACCCAAAGCCTTCTATTGTATGAGGCCCTACTACCCAATAATTGAAAAAAAGTTCGAAAATACCTTGGGCCCTATGATTCTATAGTGTTTGTACTTGCTATGTCTACCAGTTGTCTACCAATTTTCCATGTCCCCAACCCAATTCTATAGAGCTGGCCATGATTTGCAATCTCACGACCCTCAATTCTATAGAGCTCAAAATGCAGCCTCCCATTTTGGATGTCATGTGCAGCGTTTATAATTATAAAATCGGTGTACCCACCCCCCCACTTAATTCCAAGGGGTGTTCAAAAATTATTTATTAAGCGAGTAACCGAGCAGCTGCGTGATGGTGGATCGGACGCGCAGCTGTGGAGTTGGCTGTAGAGGTCAAGAGTTTCAATGCTAAACTTTGATTGAGTTTGTCAGTTGGCAAGGTTTTGTAAACTTACCTGGCTAGTGTTGGGCGGAGATCCAGAAGGGGGTCGGATGTACGCTTTGGCGTCGGCATGGGGCTCCTGGGTCTCCGCCGCTGCGCCGCTGTGATTTGCGTAGCAGCTAGCGCTCGGTGGCCTCCAAAAGGGTTGGATGTACGCCCCGGCGCAGCACTCGGTGGTGTCCAGCGGGTCAGATGCACGCCCTGGGGCTCCTGGGGCTCCGCCGCTGTACTTGCGTAGCAGGCGCAGCACTTGGTGGTTTCCATTAAGGCGGTCGGATGTATGCCCAAGTACCACCAACTACCAGCAACGCCGGGATGCTCCGCTGATTGCACGCAGCAGCCTCGACTTGTCCGTATACCAAGTGCTGTGCGAAGGTGCCACGACAGGCGCTCTTGTGGCCAAGTGTTTACTGGTTATGTCAGCAAATGACAATGCCGCAATGCCTCACTTGCTTGCCAGGCCTCTGCGTAACGATTCGTCATGGCAGTGGCACTTGGCAATGGCGATCTGCTATAGAGTCCTCGATTCGCCCCGGCACACATACCCTTTATTTATGTTGGCCTCGGTTTCGTCTTTCAGCACGGCGCCGCCCACCCACCTACCAACAATCGCCAACGACCAAACGACCACATACCACCAGCAACCAACCACCAACTAACCACCAACTGACTCAACTATCTCTACTCTCACCATGCAATTGCCTCTGGCGAGCTGCAATTCTTCACACACATCACAGACACACATCACCGCGTCACAACACAAGAGTCATACGAAGAACACAACATCACACATACACACACCACATACACACAACAACACTCAGTCACACGTGAGACGGAATTGAAGGACAGACTGACCTGCATGGACTGAGTTTTTGATGCGCAGTAGCTGTGGACTTTTCTTGAAGCGTCTTGCTGATTCACACCTTTTCGCGCTTTGGGCATTCCATTTTCACACTTACGCATGTAGATATCTACTGCTTTGATGATTTCCGCAGACATCATTCATCCTGACCTTGCTCCAGTCTGCGCGCTATGCTTCTTCGCTTCGAGGATCAAAACACAGCTGATAAGCTATGACACTTCTCCGCGCGCTTCTCTTCTGAAGGGTTGCTACCGGAACCTCTTGGGGGGTTTGGTCGTTTTCATAACATTGCTCTGTGGCCATTCGCCATCCTCGCTACCTCTGCGAGGTACTCGGCGACAAGCGCTGCTCCCTGGAAAGGTCTACAGCTTATTGCATGTTCACTCTAATCTTTGTGCTAAGCAGTTGTCATCAGAAAGGCTCCTTTTTTGATAGCAACTTCGTGCGGGTAGAGCGAGGGCTGGACTTTGAACATTTGAAGCACTGATCTTGCCCAGGACACCGCGAGCTGCCGACTTCAAGCTACAGCGCATTTGTGAGTTCTACGTGATCTCTGACCTGCGCACTCCACCACCATGCATACGCACACACACGCACATACACACGCAGGTACAACCAGACACACCACGGACCACCAACCACCAACCAACAACCACCAACCCCATCAACGCTCGCTCACTCTCTTCCTTCCGCTGCCCCTCTTTACTCACCGCGTTTCTTCTTTTTTTTCTTCTTGCTGCAGGGGTTGTGTCTGGTGAAGTTGTTAACATGTGGGGTTATCCGGTCCTATATTGGCTGCGGTTGTTTTTTTCTGGAGCTTACACTAGATCATCGCTTAGACTCTTCACAGGTCAGTTTTTGTCAATCCCCACGTGAAATCCAACTTTGGTGGTTCCAAGCACTGCCCCGAGCCCGCGGCTTGGCGCCGCTTCTTCTCCCAGGACTGGCCAGTGTCACAGGGCTGGGGTCTTGTGGTGTCCAGCGATGAAGCCATGCGGGAGCTGGTGATCGTGAACATCCAGGAGTCTACGTCTGTGAAGCACTGGAACTTGGAGCATCCCGAGTGACTGGGCTGGAGCATTATATTTGGAGTTTATTTTGGACATGTTTTGACCTATGTTATAGTAACATATGGTGATATGGTGACTAGTTTTAAAACAGAGGCTGGTGCCTTTTTTCTACCAGGAAACACCTATTTTGGAGGGCTACTATGTTCTTT